GTTTTATTGAGAAAATATTCCTTGCCTGGACAGGAGATTTGGACTCACTTAAGCAATTCTCGAAGGAAATCCTCAAACTAGACGGCGAATGGTCACAGCCTGGAGCGGACAGGAAGAAGCTTACTTTTGGTAATTCAACTATGGTGTGGCGAAAGAACAGTAAATTACTAACCATTGATGGTGAAAAGTCAGATGAAATCAAGAAACAGATTTGCAAAGTAATACTCGAAGATAGCTTAACCTTGCTAACGCCGCCATCGCAACTGCAATCAAGCATGACGACAGATGCATACATGGATGATATTGAGAGCCTTAAAACAGGACAAACGTTAAACAGTGAATTAATTCAATCTCTTGCATTCTCTGTTTCTCAGTTAACCTCTTTAATCTCTCGAGAACAAGGAGATGAAGTTAAGATCAAAAGTACGGATAAATCTGTCGTTGAGCAGTACGAGAATGCAAATACCAGATGTCCCTCTGTCTCAAAAGGATTAACCGATTCGTCTAAGAACAATAAAAATGAACACATTTCGCCTATGAACGAAAATGCGTTGGAATCTAATGACTGGGAAATGCTCCATATCACCTTAAACGAGCCAAATACCGACACAAATCCAACTAACATTCAACAATGTAATGTTGGAGCTCCACCTGCTACAAGTATAGGTACCCAGACTACCGAGGAAGATATACCAGTTAAATCCCGTGTAAATCCCCTGCATAGAAATTTTGAAAATCAGCTCACTAACTACAAGGCGACCCAGAGAGTCAAGTTTGAAAGGCTAAGACCCCATCATGTCAAAGCAAAAAGTAGAAAAACAACTAAAGCAAAAAAATCAATTCACGAGCATAATGAAACTCAAGAAACAAAGAAACCAAAGAATTCACCACAAGCTGAAAACAATAAGATCGATGAGTTAGAAAGAAAGATAAATAGTATTCAAAAGGAAAACAAATCACTCAAAACAATTATACAAATACAAAAGGATGAGTTTAATCAAGCACTTAATGATAAAGATGACAATATAAATCCTCATCCCTGGCATGTAATCAAACCAAAACAATCCATCAACTTGAAAAGCAACCAAAACAAAGGAAAACTTTTCAAACTCAAAAATCGAATCCCATACCTACCTCAAATCAATATGAAAGCGTTCAAAACAACGAAATTGGAAAGACTGTGATTGATCTCGATGAGCCAACTAATGTAGGAGACAAGGATAAGGATTCCAACTTCACTCGTATGCCGAAAAAGCATGGGTCCTCAGTGTTAATCGGCGACTCGATACTTAAAGGAATTCACCAGCACCTAATAACGAAAGCTACTAAAACTAAAACGCTGGTTAGATCCTTTCCTGGAGCTAAAATCGAAGATTTAAAGCATTATTGCGTTCCGGTCTTAGCCTGTAAGCCGAAACATGTTATCATACACTGTGGAACAAACGATTTACGTAATAGAAATCCACAAGGAATGACTAAACAGATGGGGGAATTGTGTGATCATATCCTCGATAAATGTCCGGATATTCATATCACAGTATCCTCGCTTACTACCAGAAAGGATGACCTAAACAAGAAAATCACTGAGGTAAATGAGCAACTTAAATCATTTTGTTCAGAAAAGAAATTTAACTTTTTGCTACATGCCAATATTGACAGTGAGTGCCTAAATCAATCTGGGCTTCATTTAAATAAACTTGGGGATTCTACTTTAGCAAAAAATTTTATTGAAACAATAAAACGTTTTTAGCATAGCGCCTGTATATTCTCCAAGTTGCAGCAGCCTACCAATACATGATTTGACCTCTAAAAGCACGCCTAAATATTCGTGTGCGAATAGTAATGATTCTATATCAAATGAAACTCATTATAATAAGAGCAAACTGGATACCCTAAAAGGGTTTAGAATAGCTCATCTGAACGTCACCTCCCTCCCTAAATACATCGATCAAATAAGATCTTACCTAGTCAACAAACCATTAGATATTTTCTCATTCAACGAGACTAGACTAGATGAGTCTATCAGCGATACAGATGTATATATTCACGGATATAACCTCTATAGAAAAGATAGAAACAGGCACGGTGGTGGTGTGGCTATCTATGTTAGGGACATCTTGAATGTGAGAGAAAAGTCTATGTTTGTCCCTGAAAATATTGAAGCCGTTTGTCTAGAGATTACTAAGCCTAAATCTAAACCGATATTGATCACTACTGTTTATCGTCCTCCGAGTTCTAATGTTAACTTTATGGACGAATTAGAAAACTATTTCCACATTTTGGACGAGCAAGACAAAGAATTAATTCTTACAGGGGACTTAAACTGTGACCTTTCTCCTCTACATTTATTATCTCATTCACGTAGGCTTTTGGATATTCTTGAACTGTTTCAAATGAAACAAGTAATTACAGATGCTACACGTATAACAAGTACCACAAAATCTTTACTTGATATAATTGCGACAAATCGCCCTGAAAAAGTGAGGGAAAGTGGTGTTTTCCACCTAGGAATCAGCGATCACAGTCTCGTGTACGTCTGTCTCAAGATATCTCTACCTCGTGAAAAACCTAAGATTATAGAAAGTAGAAACTTAAAGAACTACAACATCAATGATTTCAATAATCATATTTCTCACATGCTGGGTAGTCTAAATTGGGTACACAAAAATCCAGACCAATTATGGGATCAATTTAAGAATGCTTTTAATCATGTGTCGGATATTTATGCTCCAATGAAAACAAGAAAAGTCAGCAGCACATATGCTCCATGGCTAACTACCGAGATAAGATGTGAGATGAACAGGCGAGACTATTTAAAAAAGAGAGCAGTTAAAAATAATTCGGAAAGCCTTCATCGGGCCTATAAAGCAAAGCGAAATGAAGTTAACAATTTAATTAAATCTGCAAAATTTCGATATTGCAAGGATAATATTGAGTCAAACAAACATAATCCAAAACAGATGTGGAAGAACATTAACCAGGTCATCAGTGGAAAAGGTCGGTGTTCTAAAACCACCACTATAACCACAATTAAGGATGATCTGGGTAATACAATCCACGACGAAAAACTAATAGCTAACCAACTCAACAAATATTTTGCAGAAATTGGCCCAAAACTATCAGAGAAAATACCAACAAGTCTTAGAGATTTTTCTGAATTTATGGACCCAGTAGACTGTAGTTTCCATTTCACCGCAATTAAGGATGAAACAGTCTATCGAAAGTTAATGAAGCTCAAATCTAATAAGTCAATCGGATTAGACAAAATCCCCTCTAAACTGATCAAGGACTCTGCCAGCGTCATCACTCCTTATCTGAACAATATTTTTAACCAATCCCTATTGGAAGGCATTTTTCCAAACGACTGGAAAAAAGCTAGAGTTTCTCCGATATTCAAATCCGGAAACCGAGAGGAATGCGATAATTATAGACCCAAAAGCATTTTATCCACCGTATCCAAAATTTTTGAAAAAATTGTATTTGAACAGTTAAGTCAGTATCTTTCTACCAATAAGGTTTTAACAAAGTTTCAGTCAGGGTTCAGGAAAGGTTTCTCTACTTGTTCTTCTTTACTAAGAACAACAAATCAATGGCTTGTCAATATGGATAATGGTTTAATAAATGGTGTTGTCTTTCTAGATCTAAAAAAGGCTTTCGATACGGTTGATCACAATATATCGATAAAAAAACTAGAAATTTATGGCATTAAAAATAATGCCCTTCGTTGGTTCATCTCATATCTAAGTTATAGAAAACAGGTATGCAAAGTGGGGGTGTCTGTTTCAAATAGTGAAGAGGTCAAAACAGGCGTGCCGCAGGAGTCAAATCTCGGTCCTCTTCTTTTCTTACTTTATATAAACGATTTACCAAATTGTCTCGATTCTTCGGTACCAGCAGTTTTTGCTGATGATACTAATATTACAATTAGTGGTGTTACCGCAAGCGAGACTCAAGATAAGTTAGAAAGAGAACTGAATAGAGTTCATATGTGGCTTTTAGCCAACAAATTAACTTTAAACATTAGCAAAACTGAGTATATGCTTATTGGATCTAGACAAAGATTGTCCCAAGTTAGTGCCGATCCAATTATACCTATAGGATCTGAGGGTATTAACCGTGTTTCAGTAACCAAAACACTAGGTGTTGTAGTAGACGAATGCATCACCTGGAAAGACCATGTTGACAAAGTGACAAAAAAAGCTGCAAAAGGGATAGGAATGTTGCGTCGATCTAAACACTTATTTGATAAAGATACGCTTAAAACCATTTATAATGCTTTTGTTTTACCTCATTTTGATTGTGCGCTGGTATGGAATAATTGTTCCAAAACCTTGCAAACAAAATTGCAAAAGCTCCAAAATAAAGCTGGTCGAATAATTACAGGTGATTGCTACAGAACTCCCTCTGATATTGTTAGAACTAAGCTTTCATGGGACACTCTAGAGGCTAGGAGAGAGAATCAGTTGGAAAATTTAATGACTCAAATAATGAAAGGTAACTCAGATAATTACCTTTGTGATCTTTTTACGATCCGTAATAACCAAACGTATGAATTGAGAAGTAACAATCACACTCTCCATATGCCTAAGCCTAACACTAATGCATTAAAACGTAGTTTTAGTTATAAAGGCGCTGCAATTTGGAACAATATTCAATATCAATAATGATATTTTAACATAGTTCCTCCATATTTTAATATTTTAATATTTTAATAGTTCTTCTTTTAATATTTTTAACTTTGTTAACACACGGCCATCTGAAAATCAACCTTTTTATTTTTGCATGTACATGTATTCTTAAATTTTACAATAGTTTAAATAATTAGGTTTTTATTTAATTGGTTGAGATGCTACCAAAAAAAAAGAGACAAAAAAGCCAGCTTACCGGTCCACGTAGTGTTGAGTGGGGGAGAATACGCTCGGATCAAGACTGAAACGAAGCCTCACGTCGAGAAAGAGGGTGAACCGATCGCAGAATACACTAGACTGGGCTGGTTCATAATGTCACCAGGAGAGGAATTCGACAAAAATACTATGCTTATGACTCAAACTAGCCAGACAGACTACAAGGAACTCTGTCGTCTAGACGTACTCGGGTTAGCTGACGTTCCAACACACGATCAAGGAACGGTGTACTCCGAATTTAAAGAGCAATTAACGAGAGATCCAGCAGGATGGTACGTAACGGGGCTGCCTTGGCGAGGAAATCATGCAACCTTGCCAAACAACAAACAAGGAAGTCTACGTCGTCTGAACCACCTCACGAAGCGACTGCACCAAAACGGCCTTACCACTGAGTACGACTCCATCATCCGAGAACAACTGAACGAGGGGATTGTTGAGAAAGCACCGGAAGTCCCTAGCAACAAGGAATTCTACATTCCACATAAGGCGGTAGTTAAAGAGAGTGCAGAGAGTACCAAAATGAGAATCGTGTACGACGCCTCCGCGAAAGCCAAACCTGATGCCCCATCCCTCAACGAGTGTTTGAACCCCGGTCCCCCCCTCCAGAACAAACTTTGGGACGTTTTGGTCCAACAACGCGCTTACCCAGTCGTAGTAGCCGCTGACATTCGAAAGGCGTTTCTGCAGATTCGGATTCGAGAAAACGAACGTGATTGCCTCCGTTTCCATTGGCAGAAAGAACCACACTTAGAGATCGAAGTTCTACGTTTCACAAGAGCATTGTTTGGGCTGATCTCGTCGCCATTTCTTCTCGCCGGAGTGCTCGAAAGCCATTTTGACGCCTGGGAAGGGAAATACCCGGACCTGATACGAGAGTTGCGGCGCAGTTTATACGTTGATGATCTGCTGATCGGGGGCCAAACTGTACTGCAGGCTCGTACGCGAAAGGAAAAGGCCATTGAAGTCCTGGACGATGCCACTTTCCAATCACACAAGTGGCACTCGAACGTTGAAGAGTTAGAGAGAGACGGTGATCGGTCCCAAAATCATGACGAACAATCGTTTGCGAAACAACAATTTGGAGTGCAACCTGGTGAAACGAAGATGCTTGGTTTGAAATGGAATAAAGTCGAGGATACCCTGTCGATCAATTTTCCTGAAGATGAACATCCCGTGACCAGACGCGGTATTCTCCGGCAAATCGCAAAGATCTATGACCCGTCTAGTGTCACCACTTACACTAGAAGGGAAGCTGGTGTACAGAGCAGCCTGCGAGTCGAAGACGCCGTGGGATGCCAAACTCAATGACAAACTGACTCAGCGTTGGAAGAAGTGGGAGCAAATCACCCCCAAGATGGAGACGACACCGCGGGCGATTGTAGACCATAGAGAACCGGTGGATGAGCTAGAACTTCACGCGTTTGGAGACGCCTCTACACAAGGTCTACTCAATCGTGAGACAAAAGTCGGGAGTTACGCAACAACTTGTAGCTGGGAAGGGTCGACTCGCTAAGCAAGGGCTCACTATCCCTCGGTTGGAATTGGTCGCAGCACACATGGCCACCAACCTTGTGACGAACGTGGGCAGCGCCTTACAAGGACTTCCGAAGACCAGAGTACTCGGATGGTTAGACAGCTCAGTTGCCCTACATTGGATTCGCGGTAACGGACAATATAAACAGTTTGTGGCAAATAGAGTCGCCAAGATCCAACTTCATTCAGAAATCGAGTGGCGATACGTGCCTACCCATGACAACCCTGCTGACCTAGCCAGCTGCGGAGGGACAGTGACCACACCGTTGTGGTGGACTGGGCCCGAGTGGCTACAAGACCACGATCGTTGGCCAACCAACCCAATTACCGAAGCTTCAGCAGATTCAGAGGCTGAAGCCAAGATCATCAAAGAAGTCTTGTGTGTCGCACGAGTAGAAGATATGAAGACGGACGACTTCGATGACCTTCTCAAAAGACGAGATTTACGACGCGTCCTGAGAACCGGTGCGTGGATTCTACGGTTTGTTCGCAATTGTCAAAGCAAGCAAAAACAACGCGGTCCGTTGACAACTCCAGAAGTGAGCGAGATGAAGACTTGGTGGATCAAACGTGTCCAACTCCAAGACAGTTCAACACCACATCACGAGCAAACCAAAGTCGCCCTCAACCTGCAGAAAAACGTCGACGGTGTGCTCGAGTGTCGGGGAAGAATACAAGGGAAGTACCCGACGTATCTACCTCCTGACGCGCCGTTTACGAGGAAGTTGGTGCAGAGAGTGCACCTCGAGACACTGCATGGTGGCGTTGGGTTAACTATGGCCGCAGTGAGAGAGGATTACTGGGTTCCAAAGCTCAGACGGTTGGTAAAGTCTATCCAAAGAGATTGTTGGGGTTGCAAGCGGTCCAGAGCAACGGCCTTCGCAACACCCCCTCCTGGTCAGCTTCCAGAAGACCGAACCACCGGAGAAACAGCCTTCGAAGTCGTGGGAACTGATTTCGCAGGGCCAATACGGTATAGAAAAGCTGCGAAGCAAGAGGGAAAGGCCTATCTGGTCATTTTCTCTTGCAGTTTGTCGAGAGCTATCTACCTAGAAGTCATTCCTAATCTTGAAACGACAACCTTTATCCCATGCTTGAAACGGCTAGTGGCTCGGAAGGGTCGACCTCGAGTTATCTACTCAGACAACGGTCAGACATTTGTGAAAGCGGCGAAGTGGTTGGTTCAAGCGGTGGAAGACGAACGCCTCCACAGCCACCTAGAAGAGTGTAGCATCACATGGAAATTTAACCTGTCAAGAGCACCCTGGTGGGGCGGGCAGTTCGAGAGACTGATAGGTATAGTGAAGAAGGCAATGCACAAGACGATCGGGGGAGCAACGCTCACTTGGCAAGAGTTAAGCGAAGTCATGTTAGATATCGAGACCCAGATAAATAGACGCCCTCTGAGCTACGTGGAAGATGACGTTGAGCTCCAAACTCTTACCCCGTCTACCTTCCTATTTCAAAGGTCGAATCAACTACCCGAGCAAGAGCCCTGGCGAAAAGAAGAGAAATCCCTACGAAAGCGGGCCAAGTTTTTGATCACTTGCAAGGAGAACCTATGGAATCGCTGGCGGAGAGAGTATCTCACTGCGCTTAGAGAGAGACATAATTTGACACACCAGACAACGAAGTTCAAAGTCTCGGTAGGGGACGTGGTCATAGTAAAGAGTGACGACAAAAACAGAGGAAATTGGCCTTTGGCTATTGTACAACGAGTCTTTCCGGGGAAAGACGGAGTCATTCGCGCAGTTAAACTGAAGACAGCTAAAGGAACACTCGAGAGACCGGTCCAGCATCTTTACCCCATGGAGCTTGCAAGCGAGAGCGTTAAACCAGAAACAAACACACTGAATCCAGATGCTAAACCTTTCCGACCAAAGCGAAAAGCTGCTGAAAAAGCTGATGAACAAATTATGAAGATCGCAGAGTTTGAACGAAAACTATTTTAAGACTAAAGACATCCCTGACATTATCGACATTTTTCTATATATTCATTGTTATGTTCTATTAAAGTCTCCTTCATAACATGTATCTCCCATATAGGAGCTACATGGGGGGAGTGTGTCGGAGACTGGGGTTAATTGGGTATTGATTTAGCATAATGCAATTAAGACGCGCCAATCATAAGTGAGACGATATAATCTAATATATATATATACAAGGGACGAGGGGGAAAGAAAAGTGTTCTGAGGGACGTGAGACAGTGATGAGAATGTGACTTGTGATTGTTATTAGTATTTGAAATAAATTGTAGAAAAGTGACTTTTAGTGGACTACATTCCTTTGGGAGGCAGGAAATTCACTAAACCCATTTCTCATAAGATTCTTTGAAATTCTTGCGTCTTTATCATTTGCAAACGTAGCTGTAGAAAGAATCTTTAGTCAACTTAAATTGGTTAAAACCGATCACCGAAATTCTTTAAAGTCCACGACTTTGGTGTCGTTACTCCAAAGTAAGATGCAAATGAAGAATAACCACTGGTGTGCCGCCAGCCTCAAACCAAATAAAAGAGTTTTGGAGCTTGCTTCAAAAATGAAGTCAAGTGCTACGGATGAGGAAGTTAGAGAACTAAGAAATGACCTTCTTAAAAAACTGTAGTTTAGATTAAATATCAGATATAAGGCTAGTTTCAACTCAGGAAAAATCTCCTTTGGATCGGAACGGACAGGGAAATTTCTAGGAAATTTCCTTTGCCAGTGATTTCGCAGGCGGCGTTAATACAAAGGAAACTTTCTTGTCCTGTCCGATCCAAAGGAGAATTTTCCTGGATGGAAACTAGCCTATAATCATACAAGCTCTATATTTCGAAGTGTGATACTAGGTCAAAGTAGAATTTATCATAGAGTAGCATCACTGTTCATGTTAAAATTACGATTGTGTTTTTATATTGCAACCGGATTGAGCTTGTTTAATGTTAATTAATTATTGCCCCCATTTTGTGACGTTTGCGTGATATTTACATTTACTTGATCCAGGGAGTAATAGCAAAGTGCTTATTTTAACCATGTTCTAACTGATCTCGCATATCTCTTTTGATTTTGGTGACAAAAGTTGTAAAATTGTTGAAGGAAATATGAAGGAAATTTTGACATTTATGAAGGATATTTTGGGTCAAATAAGGAGAAAAAAAGGAATTTTCGGTTTTCAAATATGGAAGCACTGGAAACAATGAATATAGCCTGGCTAAAACTTTTTCATCTAAAAAAGAAATGGAGGAATATTGTACCATAAGATACATGTTCCAAGCTTGACCATTTGTAAATATAGAAACCTCAAAAAGAATAATACAAAAACAACTTCTCTATTACCTAAATTTTAGCAGTAATAGAGAAGCCTTTCATTTTAAAATGAAAATCTAGGATATGTATTTAGCCCTTGCAGATTTGCTCAGGGTGCAAAATGTTACACTAGGCCTTACCAATAATTATTATCCTTTATGCCAATGTATTAGTGATTTCCAATCTTGGAAACTTAAATCCGTGCAAAAATAGTGAATCTGACATTCATTTGGATGATTCTTGACATTTATCTGACATTCATCTTGATGATTCTTAGGACAAGTGTGAAATTAGTAGGCATGCCTACTAATAAGTACTATACATTTTAAGAGAATTTAAGTACTAAGTAACTTTATTGCATGGCAATTTACATGATTTCAAGAATCATATTAATTAAAATTTAATATGCATTTTAAAACATCACATTTTAAATAGTTATTTTTAGTCTAAAAGGTAAATTTCACAGTACACACTATTTTAATATAGTTGATAATACCTTACCAGAGGAAGCCATGTCACTTTTGCCACACTATAAAGGTTAGAAAAATTAATGTTAAGGCATAGTTTAAAAAAAAACTATTGCTTTATATTAACGTTTTGTAGACAGATGATGGGTCAAATCCTGAATAATTTTTATGAAGGATAGTATCTGTGCCACATGCGGGTGGCAAAAAGCCAGAATCTCGCAAATCGTATGAGCGAAGTATTCAAACAAAAAAATTTACATAATTAGCACATAAGTATTAAATACATGAATGTTAAGAAATACATAAGATCCTGAATAATTTTTATGAAGGATAGTATCTGTGCCACATGGGGGTGGCAAAATGCCTGAATCTCGCAAATCGTATGAGCGAAGTATTCAAACAAAAAAATTTACATAGTTCGCACATAAGTATTAAATAATAATAATACATATAAACACCATCTTACTGTTGGTTTTACGCAAACGAATTGTTGTTAAAAGTTATTTTCCACATTTTATATCACAGTTGAAGAAAGCCCAAAAAAGTAATAAAGTATGTATGGGGTATTTGCAAATGATGTGCTATCAAGTTGTTTTTGTACCAAAGTTATTAAAATTATCGAATGATGTTGAAGAAAATCCTGGTCCCCAAACCATTAATGATATAGTTGATCCAACATTCACTGTATGTGGTGACTATAATCAAGGCAATGATTTACTCTTTGGATCAAATGCTTGTAAGCAATGTGTTACAATGTCACTCTGTGCTATTATTAATAAAGAAATTAAGTCAGTCAATATTTGGGATAAATCAGTTCTTAACACTATATTAAATTATGGTAATGATTTATATAGTATAATTAGTAAGAGCATCAATAAAAGTTATTTACTATTAATAGATGTCCCCATGTTTGTTAGCATAGATGACCACACTTTTCATTTACAGTAAAGTGATTCCTTTTCTGGAGGATTATCAACATGTGACAACAATTTCCCTTGTCTTACACTTAAAAATGCTTTTAACAAGGTTTTTCTTAATTTGAATTACAAAAGTACTTTGTTAACTGTGGATATGAATACTGTTGCCATCATAATGCCTTTTCCTGGTGTGTTTAATGTGTTCGATTCTCATTCACATGATCGGTATGGAATGCCATCTGCACTGGGCTATAGCCTTTTGATTTCAATTGAAGGTGTGGAAGACCTTGCTTTATATTTTCATGCAACATTGAACTATTACATTAATGATACAAATATTGCAACTCCATTTGAGTTGAAGGGTGTTAGCATAAACCAGAGTAATTTGTTAAGAAGCAATCAGATAAACATTCCATTTTCAAAACAAAACTATCCAAGTACTGGGACATGTAATGCACTTGTAAATAAAGACTCACTTCACACTAACTTGAAAGATGTCACAACAGTCCAAAGTTCTCCACAAACGCCAAGTGAACGTCAAAGGAATAAAAGACAGAGAGAATCTGACGAACAGCATACAAATAGGTTGCTAAAAGCAAAATAATATTACCATTTGAAAAAGAAAAAAGTAAACGCAACAAAAGAAAATGAGTCTCTTGAGGAAAGAAGGAAAAGACTTGAAAAGAGAAGACAGAATACTAATTTAAGAAGACAGGCTGTTGCAAACGAAGAAAAGGAAGCAAGACTTGCAAAAGATCGTGAAAGAAAGAGAGCTTCTAAAAAAATTCCTGCTCTTCAAAAGAAGGTAAGAGGAAAGGTGACAAATCACAATCAATTGGAAATGAAACTTCAAACCCTGTGAGTTATAGCTTGTCTAATGAAAAAAGTAATGAATTGGCTCTTGTGAGAAAGTTTCATAACTCTGTATCTGCTGGACCCCTGTACATTTGCACTTGCTGTGACCAATTATGGTATAAACATAGTGTTTTGCCTGCAGACAAACTAATACTGGTAAATCCTGACATAACTATGCATCTACAAAATATAAAAAGTGTTGATAATATTGAATGGGTTTGTCAAACCTGTAACAACCACTTAAAAAAAAGGAAAGTTCCCACCTTGTGCAATTGCTAATGGCATGCAATTTCCAAAAAGACCTTCTTTCTTTGATCTAAATGAACTAGAATGTCGACTTATTGCTCCTCGGTTAGCATTTCAAAAAATTTTTCAGGCACCAAGGGGTGGTAAACTCAAAATTACTGGTAATGTTGTCAATGCGCCTACAGATGTAAACAGCACGGTGAATGTGCTGCCCAGATTATCGCATGAGACAGGTACTATTAAAGTTCAACTTAAACGAAGATTACAATACAAAAGCTCTGCACTTTCAATGAATATAAGGCCTCACAAAGTAATGCAAGCAACTACTGTACATGGTTAATTAACACAAGTGCTTTGTATCAAGATCAAGGAATCATTATGAACCAGAATTGGTTGAGAAACCTGCAAGAGTCATTGGATATGACCAGTGATATTGAAGCATGAAATGGTGCAGATGATCTAACAACATCAAATCTCCCGGAAGATGAATGGAGTGAAGATGAAGCAGAAATACCAGCTGGAGTAACTGATAGTATGTTGACTCCTCCAGACTTTGTTAGTGATAGTGAAAAGCAAGAAATCTATAATGTTGCTCCTGGTGAAGGCAATAGGCCATTGAGTATATTTAGAGATCAGTATTCTGAAGAAATGGCATATCCAGGAATATTTCTTGGACAAAAAAGACCAGATGATAAACAAAGGCTAAGAAGTGTTTATACTATAGTGACATATGTAAATCTGAGTTAAGAAGATCTGATCGTCGAGCTGCTATGTGTGGTGAAAATATATTCTTTAAGGCTAAGAAGTTACTAATGAAATTCTTAATTGGTCAGTCACAGATTGCGCTCCAAAAACACAATGTAGGTAACAGAACACTTACTGCTGGAGACCTAAAAACCACAGAAGGTTTACAAAGTTTAATAAACCATGATGATGGTTTCAGATTCTTGAAAACTCTTAGGGGTTCACTGCCTTATTTTGAAAGAGCCAAAAAGGACTTGTTTGCCATGATTCGTCAGTTAGGACCAGCATCTATATTTTGCAGTTTCTCATCAGCAGAAACAAAATGGAATCATTTATTGAGAATTCTTGGTAAACTTATTGATCACAAGGATTATAGTGATGACGAATTGAACAATCTTACCTGGGAGGAAAGGTGTCGACTAATACAAAGTGACCCGGTAA